TCGTAACGCAGCCATTTCGTAAGCAGGCATTCGAGACCCTGCACTATTTGGCGCATCCAGGGATAAGAGCGACAACAAAGCTAGTCGCACAGCGTTTCGTGTGGCCAGGCATCCGGAAAGACTGCAGAACCTGGGCACAGGCATGCATCCAGTGCCAGAAGGCCAAGATAACGAGACACAACAACACGCCAGTTGGAAGATTCCCAGAACTACCAGGAAGATTCCAACACGTGCACGCAGATATCGTAGGCCCACTACCAATGTCCGCAGGATACCGATACTGCCTGACATTGATAGATCGAAACACGCGTTGGCCGGAAGTGTTGCCCGTCCGCGACATCACAGCAGAAACTATAGCGAAACACTTATTCCAGGATTGGATCATACGATTTGGAGTACCACAGAGAATTACCACTGACCAGGGCAGGCAGTTCGAAGCAGATCTGTTTCGCCAACTGACGCAATGGACAGGCACAACACACTGGAGAACCACAGCCTATCACCCACAAGCTAATGGGATGATAGAAAGGTTCCACAGACAACTGAAGGCAGCCATTAAGAGTCACGAAACAGAAAGATGGACAGAGGTACTCCCGATTATCCTGTTAGGAGTAAGAGCAGCCTGGAAGGAGGACCTCCAAGCAACACCAGCAGAACTAGTATACGGAGAGCCAATCCGACTTCCGGGACAATTCTTGGGGGACAACCCGAAAAGCCGCGACACGGGCCACGACTACCTAGACACGCTAAGACGGACAACAACACGAATACGACCGCAGATAAAGCGACACGGGGAGAAAGCTACTTTTGTTTTCAAAGACCTAGCCACTAGCCCCATGGTATTCGTACGGCACGATGCACCAACAGGAGCACTACAAGCACCGTACCAGGGACCGTACCAGGTTCTACAACGCACAGACAAATGGTTTAAGCTAAACATTCGGGGAAAAGCAATAAGAGTTTCAGCCGATCGACTAAAACCAGCATACGTACTGGAGGAAGAAGCAGAGGCACCGAAACAACCACCAGACGTAAAAACAAATCAAGAGAAAGAAACACGGACAAGGAGCGGACGATTGTCAAAGCCTACAGTCCGATTCAACTTGAAGTAAAAGGGGCTTACCCACAACCAGGGGGGTCCTGTGGCGACTCAAAGCGCCACACACATACAAGGCGCCGCCGGTAGGCAGCGGGAGCCCACGGCTGCGCGCACGCGCCGTACACCTGTCACGCGCCACCGGCGGGCGGCACAGGCGCCCGAGTACCGCGCCGCGCTAACTACTCGCGGAGCACCACCAGAGGGCCCGCGGGTCGTACAGTTGCGCGTAAGTGAAAAATGGTTAGGAGGGCCATATAGGCCCCGGGACGCGGTCAACGACCGCACTTGTCTCGCTCTATATTGAGCCGCCGCAACGGAACGCATCCGGATAACTAGGCGCAAGGACAAGGGACGACAGGGGCCTAAAAAGCCGCTGTCACGAGCAACAGATAGCAGTGTTCTGCTTCGAGCTAAAACCAACCAGATAGCAGCAG